GGGGGGGGGGGGGGGGGGCTTGGGCTGCGGGGGTGTTTGTTGGCTCCGAGGGGGACACGCGATGGGGTGGCCAGGGGTTCGGTCCCTGGCGAGTGAATTGACGCGCGTCGACAGGGACGTCGAAGGGTCTTTTCGCGCCTTCGGGAGGATCGAAATGACACGCCATTGTGGGCAGGGCGGTCGCACGTGCCACCGTCAACGATGTCGTTTCCCGCCATAGAAAAGCGACGTCGCTGGAGGTCCATCTGCGAGAGACTACTTAAGTCCTGTGCATCTCAACCCGCCTGTATGTCGTCCGCACGAAGGTGTCTCTTGTACAGAATCCCGCCGCGCCTGCTGCAAGCCGCCCGCAACGACGTGGAACTGGTACAAGCCTGCTCGCCGCGGATAAATGTCGCTCGCTCCGTGCGGACATCTTCAGTTCCTTGGACGACCACCGCCGACGCCACTCTTGCCATCTCGTCTCGTGGACGATCTTCGGAATGAGCGCGTCCTTCTCTCCACCACGCCGACGTCGCCCGTCAATCATCTCGCCGCGGATCACTGTGATCGTCGCTCTTCTATTCTTCTCGCCGCCAGTCTTTTTGCCGCGGAGTACTCTCGCCGGGGTCTTCGTCCTTCTGTCTACCACGTGCACTTCGTCGTTTTCTTCCCGCGGGGGACAGATCTTCTGCGTCGCGGGAGTATCCGTCGTCGTCACGTCCTTTTCCCGCGGAGGACAGATCTTCTGTCTACCACGTGCACGTCGTCGTCGTCACGCCACAGCTGCACGGGAGACATATTTCACGGGAGACATATTTCAAGGAGACATATTTCTCGCCAGGTCGGCCACACTTCCTGCTCATCCGATCACACTGCCAAGCTCGCCTGCAGAGGTCGCCACGAAGCATGTTTGCGCGAGGGAACACCCGTGGGAAGAAGTGTGACGTAGTCCCTGACGACAGCCAAGGGCAGGGAAGAGGTCGGCGGCAGGCCCCGAAAGCGAAGAGGGTGCGTTCGGAAGATGCGTCAGCAAGGGTGCCTCGTCGTGGAGCGCAAGGTTGGGCGGCAGCAGCAGAAGGGGACTACGACAAAGAGTTCACAACGGAGTAGGAGCAAGCAAAGGCGACCACGTCTGAGGTACGCGAGAGCGGTCGGCAATGCTCTTCTGATCACACCGCTTCGAAGAGGATGCTGACCCCTCCACTCCGAAGACACGGAGAAGGCTCCCGTCGTCGATCTTGGCAGCGATGATGACGAGCCCTTGGAGAGACGTCGCATTCGCATTCGTACAACGGCGACCCCACCGCCGGCGGTGATGGCACGCGCTGCTGCAAACGAAAGGCCAGTCTTGAGTAGGCTGCTCGCCACGCCATCTCAGCCACATCAGCGCAACGAGGGTGGTGATGGAGGGTCCGTCCAACGCGGCGGCTGGGGGGAAGTCGTGGCAGATGCGCGCGCAGTTCAGGCCGAGGAGGCAGGTGCTGCGGGGGCGGGTGGTTCAGGCACCGTGGCCGCCCTTGCGACGGCGAGGGAGGAGGCAGCAGTTGTGGCGACGGCGAGAGAGGAGGCGCGTGGCGAGAAGAAAGGCGATCGGGAGGCCGGCGAGCCCGGTTCAAGCCGGGTACGTAGGAGTGTGATGACAAAAGACCTCATTGATCGTGCCGTCCTTTGGGTCGATGACAAAGCTTTCTAGACGACGGGGGAGGGGCGAAGACTGTACAACATCGTCCACGATACGAGAGAGCACTTCGTCGCCATCGCCAGCGGACTTCCACCGCCCGCCATCCCTCGGAGCGTCGTACTGCCCAAATCCAGCACGCGCGTAGGCAGGATCGTCGACCAATCACAGTTGCAGCAAGCGATCTCCCGTATGGCGGAGGTGGTGAACGTAGCTCTGCGCATCTTGCACGGTTGGGTATTCAAGTCCGGGAACCGAACAAGGGGATACCATGTGGCTTTCCAGTACTCGCTCGAATCCTTTGCGACGGACATTGCGCGTGCTATGTGGTACGGCGAGGAGTGGTGCGACGTCGTCAGTCCGACGGTTTGCGTGCACACGATAGATCTGTCCATGGACATGCCACTTTGGTTCGCCGACGCCAACATCGAGGACAGACCGGATAACAACGACATGGCGGCGCACCAGGAGTCCACCGTCATCTGCGTCGCCCATGCATTCCGCGCGGCGGTGCAAATGGGGGCGCTCATTGACGGCGAGTTCATCTCGCACGATCGTCTTTGTCGGGTGGATGACTGCTTCAGGCTGTTGTTGGTTGCGTGCATGTGGATAATGCGCATGGCGAGAGACGATCCGCGCAGCCACTACGAGGCTTTCTACTTCGCGAACTTTGTGGCGAAGCCCACACTCGTCGCGGCTATGCATCGCTCCTTAGATCATCGACGATCCGTCGTTCGAGCCGCGAAAGTTGTCACAGAGAGTCTCGGGAAGGCGAACGCTACGTTCGGGCAGTACCCCGACTACATCCCTCAATGGGCACCCTGCGGTATTGGTTTCAGGCACGACGCGAGCATAACGGGGCCAGAGGATGCGAAAAAGCTAGATTGGTTGGGTTCGGCCCCCCCCGATGATGACAACAACAACGAGGGGAAAGATGGCGCGTAGGTGGGGTGGGGGGGGGGAGGTTTGGCTGCTTGTGTGGACTCGGGCGCATGTACAAGTGGCTGGTCGTGATGGGCTTCACTGTGGTTGCACCGTCGGAAAGTGCGCACCTGTTTAGTGTGTCGGCAAGAGGGATTCCTCAGAATCATCGTCGGTTGCGCACTTGTTTAGCTCGTCGGCTCTACCACGAAGACGGGTTGATTGTTTTCAATGGTGTGTGTTGCGTTTAGTGCAGGTGTTCAGTGTGTCGGTCGTTGGAGTCTACGACGAGATCATTCAATGTCGTCCTGTATTCTGTTTTTATATTCGCAGTTCGCTACACGAGAAGTTCATAGCGCTTTTAGCGCACTCTTTTTTTTTATGTGATGTGTTTGTTGTTCTCGTCTCTTTTGTGGAATGATTTAAAGATGATTGCAGATGATTATCTCCTATGCATGCACGCAATCCATGTTCATCTCTCTCTGTTTCTGTGTTTCGTCGATAACTAACGTTAAGCAGTCTGCATCAACAATTTGAGAACCCATGTTTGACGTCCCGCCAGAGAAGCACACGAAAACATTCGTGACAAACAAATTGAAGAGACACACAAAAAAAAAGAGAAAAAGAAATTGAGGAGATAGAAAATAAAAAAGAAAAAAACTTCCCACCACACCGAACCATTCGAGACATGCGATTTGAAGACACACATTAAAAAAAAAAAAAATAAAAAAAAAAAAAAAAAAAAAAAAAAAAAAAAAAAAAAAAAAAAAAAAAAAAAAAAAAAAAAAAAAAAAAAAAAAGAGACACACAAAAAAAAGGTTCTTCCAATATGAAACGTTCGTACAACTGTACGAACCACGCGACCGTCCACACGACGAAAACAAGAAAGGAAGGCACAGACGACAACCATGCCGCCATACAATCCACCCAGCAACTTCGCGCACGATGCCAATGGACGCGGGCCACATGTCAATTCCACCCGCCTGCCGATCGCACCAACCCATGTGCTCTCGCCCCCTACCCATCCCCCCCCCCCCCCCCCCCCCCCCCCCCCCCCCCCCCCCTCCCCCTCCCGCCTGCACGGTCCTACATCAGAGCTAGGCGGTCTCGAAGTGCATCCCGCAACAAGTCCCCGTCCACATTCGTGCTCCGTCTTTACCCGCCCGCGCCGTTCCCTACAATGCCCAAGTCTACTCTACGTCGAATGCCGTTCTCATACACCTCCCACAAAAGGTTCTTATCGAAGTCGATCCCCGCGTCGAGGAGGATGTTGTGGAGAGTGCACACGGCCACGAATTGTTGTGGCAAGGCCAGGTTTGTCTTGTGGGTGCGCAAGAACAGACGCCACATGCACTTCAGTCGCCCAAATGCCCTCTCCACACACCCCTGCGCCACCTTCTGTCGCGTGTCGAAGTGCTCCTCGTCAGGATCTTGGTCGATTCCTCCGTACGGTTGCACGATCCATGGACAGGCAACTGGATAACCGTTGTCGCCTAGCAGGTAACCTCGCGTGACGACACCGTGCGGCAGATTCTCCGGAGGTGCGTCGAACAGCTCGGCAGCTTCTGCACGCCTCCACAGTTGGGAATTGTACAGGACACGGACATCGTGCACACTTCTCGGGTATCCGATGTGGACGTCGAGGATCCGCAGATCCAAATCCACCACCACCTGCGCCTGCACGGAGAACTTTTGTTTGCGGTCGTAGAAGTTGTCCGAAGGTGCGCCGACGGGCTGGTCAATGTAGATGTGTGTACAGTCGATCGCGCCGAAGCAGTTCGGGAAACCCTTGTCACGGAATGCGCGCAGAATCTGCGCACGTCTACGGCCAACTGGCCACTTGATCCCGTCGGGGCACGCCTGCAGCAGCGCCGAAGTGACGTCGAGGACGGCCTGCAGTCCAGTTGCCCTGTCGATGCTGAAGGCTGACGTCCCGCTCTCGTACGTCTCTCCTGACGCCCACCTGTACAACGCGAAAGCGATCACCTGCTCCACTCGCAATGGCATCCTATAGTGCGTCACCTTCTTCTCCACGTACGCGGCGCACGCGACTACAATCTGCTTGAACATGGCCATCGCCATACGTAACTTCTGCCGGTAGTACTCGTTCGTCGCATCATCACAGAGGCGGAGATCCTCCGATGTTCCGCCAGTCCGTCGTTTAATCCACCAACGCGGGGTCTGCCGCGGGAAAACGCCAGATGACAGCGCACCACACAACTGGACGACTGCCTCACACGTGGCCACACAAACCGGCGCTTCGGCAATGCGCTGCAACAACGCTCTTCGTTTACGGAGCTGCGTCAGCATGTCGCTTGATGACGACGACATGTCGCCCATCGTGTTCATGACGACGGCAATAACCGCCATCGCCACCGCGTCGATCTCCTCTTCGCGCAGACCGTCCTTGTTGCTGCGAACGTCCATCTCCGGGAATCGTTCTGCCCCCACAGCGTGACGCCTGCCACAGCCGCCGAAGACACGCCCGCTGCTCAACCCTGCCGCAGGAGACCACACACGCCGGACCCGTAGATGCGCCCGCTGCCGTATGCTGCAACAAGAGATGACGTACGCGGGAGTCGACGACGCGCCCGCTGCTCTACGGTTCCACAGGACAGCACACACGGCGGAGGTGAAGATGCGCCTTGCCGGAAGATGCCCCCGCTGGTCACAACTTGCGTGGAGTCGGAAGATGGATACCCGCGCCGAATGGTTCGCCAGCGTCGTCTTTTGTACGTCACACGAGTCGCCTGGCCGTCCTCCGCCCCGCCGCCCTGCGTCCGCGAGAATTCGAATTCGAATTTTTGAATTTCGGGGTGACCGCGCTTTTCACCCACCCCTCCTCACCCGCCCAAGGCCTTCGCAGTGTGTACCACGGACACCAGCCAGGACCCGACGGACATCGGCGACGCGGCTGCGTATACGAATATGAGAACGGGTCGAGGGAGACCTTTTAGGACGAATCCTAAAAGATGATTTTTAGGACTGCGTGTAACGACGCCGCACGAAATCCTAAAAAACCTTTAGGACTCGTCCTAAAAATTTTAGGATTCTTTTAGGAGTGTCTAACGAGACCCCAAGTGTAGCAGTATCTGTTCTGATCAGTTTAATATCCGATCTGTGGTCCATCGGGCCACATGATATTAAAAAAAAAAAAAAAAAAAAAAAAAAAAAGTTAAAAAACAAAATTCCCACCTGTGGGAACTGGACCACACTGTCGCGAGGCCGACATCACCCAATAGACCAAGGGATGCAGCCCACTTCCTTTGGCTCCGAGCGAGGAGTGTGTAACGAGCCTCTATGAATGTATACAAGCTATCTTTCCGGTCTCTCGCAGTCGTGATGAGGGTGTGTTCTGCTCGAGGGAAAAGGGTAGTCATCTGCGCCCCCTCAACTCTATTGACTCTCTTTTTTTTTTTTTTCTTTTTTTTTTTTTATGACAAATGCTCCAATCTATTGGCGGGAAGCAACACGTGCTGGGAACGAGGCCCAGCGTCCCATATAGTGTCTGCAGAAATCCTACTCCTCAGCAGATCTTTGCTGATTTCTGAATGTCCTCGTTTCCTCAGCAGCCCCTCTTGTAGAGCTTCAAGTCTTTTAATCAGTTCAAGAGGAAAGCAACTTTTTTTTTTTTTTTTTTTTTTTTTTGGGAAAGCATTAGCGGTTTATTACAAAACATTGGGGCGAGGCCGGGGACCTCACAATTGAACCCGGAGTTATCCTGGCAGCCTCAGCCAGTTTCGCTTACGAGCCAAGCTCGACAACCAAACTAACTGCTCCATCTATAAAATCCTCCTGCTAGAAACGGGGTCCAACGTCCCATTATTAAACCACTTTCCAAAAGTAACCTTTAACGCACAAAGTAAAAGTGAGCTATCTGATGAAGACTAACTCTTAGATTCTGAGAGCACCTCTTGTACCCTGGGGTAGGCCCTTAGGAGGCAGCTGCCACCTGAAGCTATTGTCACTCCTCCAGGCAGTCTGCACACCAGTTCGCTAATCTTAAAATTTTAGACTTTGAAGCGCAACCCTAATGGTCCTGAACAGTCTCTGTACTAACCCCAGGCCTACTGCGGCCTGCGACAATGTAAGTATACTGTGTGTGGTCTCTGTAAGCCTAGCTCGGCCCTTCTACACCACCCTTAACCAGGGCACCCTGCTGTGACGCCCCCAACCTCACGCCCAGTGCGACTTCCTGATCGGAGTGGGATGTGGGCCTGGAAGTGCGAAAAGGGGTGTGCCAAGGATTTTTGGGACAGTGGGGGGTGGAGTCCCAGGTCGGAACTGAGATCTCTTGTGGCAAAGTTTCAGGGGCACAGAATTTGATGCAATAGGGCTAAGGGGGGGGGAGAGGCGAGTTACTTCCGGCCTGCTGTCGTTCGATGTCGTGCAGCATAAGGCAGATGGTATGCATGGTGCATTCACGGTCGTCCGATCCGTCTGTTTTGGGAGCGGCGGTTCGGGGAAAGGCTAAACCAGGATAGGTACGTTCCCGATGAGTCAGACCTTTGGGTGCGGGCACGTGGCGTCTGTCGTCGCGTGTTCTGGCTAGGCCCTCGAGTTTTCGGGGCTCGCAGGTTGCCGCGTCGCCGACAATTTTCACAAGGCGTGCGGGTTCAAGTCAGGGCGATGGAGTTTCACGAAACCACCGTGAGTTGGTGATACAAGAGGAGGAGACAGAAGGGAGGGAAATTAGTAGTGATAACAACGAAACCGAGGGATATGAAGTAGTGCGAATTATCCGTAATTGGATAATCGGGGCACCTCGGATCCCTGGTTACAGCATAGTGAAATTCCCTAGGGCATAATCGATTCTCAGTTAAGCAGGGGAATTCCGGATATCTTTGCCTAATGCATTCCCTCACCCAAGGGTCAAAGTACTCCAAGTCCCAAGAGTTCGGCATCTTATCATTGCGGTGGGGAAGAATTATCTCACACTCGTCTAATCGGCAAGGGGATGTTCCGACGTGATATCAGAATTCCTTTCCGTTTAGGTACGCGGGGGAAGGGCAATTCCCGTCTACTCCAAGGCGTCAAGTTCGTCGATGGTCGCAAATCGGCGCGCGTGGATACGTGTAGGCTGCACAGATCAGATCGTGCTTACACGCATCCCTGCGAGGTATTCGCTTGTTTCTGGACAAACAACTATCCAATCATCTAATCACTCCCTGATCCCGCGCGCAATCATTCATGAGCATACAAGGTGCTACTACACATCAGGCATCGCAGCAACAACAGTAGATCAAAGAAAACCAACAACAATAGAGACGACTACGCGAGAGTTCCTACTATGTTCACAAGTGTATCAAAAATGGCAAGAAAAGGCACTCACATACAAAAGAAAAGCAACCAGACATAACATTCATTCATCCATTCATTCGACATAACACACGATAAGCGAGATCGAGACCAATTGCAAAAATGAGTGTGGACAGAAACCAAGCCAAAATTCTAAAAACAAAAGAAAACGAGCGAATCCCCCGGAGCCGAGATCAAAATTTATATACAAAAGTAAGGAGGGAGACAAGATAAAGAAAATTGCAACCCACTTCCATCAACCTCAACTCCCTCTCCTTCTCTCTTCCCCTCCGATGTGGACAGTCCGTCGTCACGCACCAATCCCATGAAGTCGTCACCCTGCTGTCCAGCGCATCAATCCGGCACCGCACAAGGCAGCGCGCCACCCTCCTGGCCACGTCACGCAGGAGTTGGTATAAATCCTTTGCCGCAAATATACATGGAGCTTCCGCAAGCCGCTCCGGTCGAGGAGCCAGCCATACCTCTCGCGAGCCCCTACGACAGGATAGGGCCTACGCGAGGCACGACTCACCTCCACCTTACGGGAGTTGTCACCTCTCTTCGGTGGGCGTATCCCCTCCGAGCTACCAACCCACAATACGAAAGCTGATCAGTTGCAATTGCAGAGGTGGACCAGCCGAGGGCGTTTCTCGTTCGCTGTAGCGTAGGGGGTACGTGCGGTAATACGCCTCTTTCGGACCCGCACGCGAACCGACATCTTGGGGGGCTGAAGTCCCAAGCGCGACCCGTTGTCGGTCGACTACGACGCATCCCACACACCACGCGCACACCCCTCTATAGAACATAAAAATAAAAACGCATGCACACACATATATACATATACATATATAGAACGACACCGAACAAACAACGCGATAACATTCCTAGTCCCTTAGTAGTCATCCCATAATTCTCTGATGCGGAAATCGGATGGGCGACGCGCGCGAGACTTAGGATAAAACCGCGCGGACACAGGGCTAGCTCATATGGACTCGCAATGCAAGCGTACGCAAGGGGTCGCAATGATGGCGTACTATGCAGTACCCATACTCATGTGGTCCTCGTTAATCTCGATGGTCGCATTCGACACTCAAGTGTCGGCTGACACGCGCCTTGAGGGAATGATCTCTCGACGCTGGACAACCGCCAAGTGCGGTTGAAGACCACACCCTCTTCTGCACTCTGCAGAGAGTGGGTGGTACACAGGTTCATACTTGTGGTGACAATCGTCTCTTATGGCCCTGTAGACCAGCTCTCTCATCCTGGGTCAGGAAAGACATCAAGGGGTTTGACTTTGATGGCTGCCACGGACTACAATGTCCAACTATAAAAATTAACAAACAAAATCAATCAATAAAACAAACATCCCAACTCTCATATATTGAATCAGGACTCGAGATAAAATAAAAGAAGGGGGAAACATAAACCCATCAGCTATGCAGATCATGCGTCACATGGTTGTCATCTTCATTACCTCCAAAGTATGACCCATATACCAAGCTCCAAAATACTAACCTGCATAAAACACAGGCACACACAATAATCACATTGCCATACACCAATGTGGTCAACTTCATTGTTCCTTGTAACTCACACCACGCCTCACACACTCAAGCCCCAGTCATAATCCAACTCTCCATAAAATCTCATAATTTCTTTATAATGACCATTGAAAGAAATCTGGTTAAGACCTTCAAGGAAGTATATCAAGCCTCAGGGCTAAGGCAATCAAGTTGAGGTACAAATTTAAGCAAAGTTGTGTCGTGAGCCGACGAGTCGCAATCAACCAGCCGACCTGTTATCAGTGATAACAGAAGATGATCCTCGTAGGATCAATCTGAAACTAGTCTAAATCCTGGATCGAACGTCCAAAAAAGACCTGTATCATATGACATGTCAAAGTCCAAGCTAAATTGTCAATGTATGAAGATCAAATCCCCATTACACGTTCTCACTCAAGAATTTCCATATAGTAGCCAAGCCTAGGTCTACCTCTAAGCCAGCGCCCAAAAGAAAGGTAGATCTATGGCAGAATCTCCCCCATAGGTCTTGTATAAATCTTGGTAAGCCACTTTCTCTACGGGAAGCGCTGCCGGGATTTCTGCAAATCCAAGGAGTTAGTCAAAACTTAACTTTTTAAAAGTTCAACTTGTTTGATTTCTATATATCTCGCTTAGTGAAAATCTGGGAAGTCTCCTTTTCTAAAGGGAGTGCTCCCCAATT